AGTATTAGAATTCGAAACAATTATAATGGACAATTTGTTTGACTATAATCATAAAATTTCTTGTTGTTTATTTATTTTGGAATTATGTAAATTTCTAAATAGAAATTGAATATCAGTATAGTTCATTTTAGAGATTTTGTCATCATTATACTTACTGTTTAACTTTGTCCATCGCACTGTTTCACCATGACACGCAAAAATGGGCGTCGAGTATGACGTCACAATGTTTATATACGTCACATACGTTGTTGTTATGCATTATTAGTTTATCGTTAGAAACAAAACATGGCTGCTGTAAAAGAAAAGCGGACATTATTTTCACGTTTTTTCACATCACTTTGCAAGGATAATGTTAACGAGGTTGTTGTCACCAGAATTTATCCGATTAATCAAATGGGAGAATTAAATGCTCAAACGGATACAATCAAACAGGACGGAGCTAATAACAACAACGGCATTGATGTAGACATGGAGAAAGCTTATCACAAAGAAAGGAAGAGAAAATGGCGATTCTGGAAACTTTGCAAGTGTGGAGGGAAGCAGAGGGGAGCAGTTGACGGTGAAATTGGAAAAATCGGAAGCAAGGTCGACGAGAATGTGACAAGAGGGCCAACAACTTTGATCGATTTGGAGGATTATGGATATGATTAAGTCAACATCAGATTTTTACACTTTATTTTAACAGAAAGGAACTGATTTTTAATTGATTATTTTTTACTTATATCTACTTTTACTCTTAGTTCACACATTGTTTCATTTTGCAAAAGATAACATTTTAAAATACATTTAAAGAAAAAAAGAAAACTCTTTTGGATATTATAAATTTTGTTTGTTTGTGTTTGGTATTGAGTACTTTTATCACTTTAAAAAAAACGTGAAAAAAAATATATATGCATGTTTTTTGTCAATTATAACCACGCGCATGACATTAAAGAAAGGAAAAAATGTTTCTAGTTTTCTTTGGTAATACATTCGAATCTCATTATCTCGAAATCATCGGGTACGTCAAAAAAGATCGAAATAACGAAATGTCGAGATAGATATGTAAGGGTTTCAACAAGTAGACACTGATTTTGTAATATTGTATTTAAGTATTGGGTTAAATCGTATATATAATGATAACGTTGATATGCACCATTTATTACGACTTTTACAGTACATCATTCCCATCATCACCTACCCCATAAGAAGTATTTGAAACAAATTAGAGCACATAAAAAACAAATGTCTTGACTTCGAAGTTTTATGTTTCATTTAAACAAAGTTATCACCAGATATTACCGACGACATGATAACATTAGATGGATATGGTTCGTTGTACAGAGAATAGAATTATTCGCATTCCGGTGGACATTTAGCTTATAATGTGCCGCGTCACGACAAAACCAACATAGTGGGTTTGCGACCAGCATGGATCCAGACCAGTCTGCGCATCCGCACAGTCTGATCAGGATCCATGCTGTTCCCTTACCAACTCTATTACAAGTGGAGAAACTGACAGCGAACAGCATGGATCCTGATCAAACTGCGCAGATGCGCAGGCTGGTCCGGATCCATGCTGGTCGCAAATGCACTATGTTGGTTTAGTCGTGACGCGGCTCATATGTCTAACAACCTGTTTCTAAAAGGACCATTAAAATAAATTTGCTCCCTAACAAAAAGTTTAGTAAATCTATATCTTTTTCAAAGAGAAATATAACAACAACAGCAACAACAATGATAATAATAATAAATAATAATAATAGTAATAGTAGTAAAAATAAGAGCAATAGTAAAATTATTATTATTATTATTATTATTATTATTATTATTATTATTATCTAAAGACGAAGTGGGAATATTACAAAATGGTCTCCGTCCGTGCATCCGTGCGCCCTTGCATCCGTTTCAATTCTGTCTAGATTATAACTCCAAAACTACTTGAGCGATTCGGCTCACCCAATAAATTCCTCCGCCTCGCCAGATAAACTTTCTCCATCCACGGCACCAACTTATTATTCTCTATGTACATGAACACACGTTCCAAAGTTTCACAGTTAATCAGACAATTAGAGCAAAGGACAGAAATCTTCGGTTATAATATATGTAATTTTTCATTTAATATCCATTTGAAACTTCTTTTGGGATTCGATGATTAAATATAAATGTTGTAATGATTCAAAAGATAAAAGATATTGTAAATACTAACTATTAGATCAAAGCGCTGAAAGCACTGAATGTCGTACGACGGTTTGAATAGCACATTTTAAAAATTAAATAAGTGCCAGCCCGCATAGCCCAATCGGTTAGAGCGCAAAATCTCGACATTGTGAATTCAATTCCTCGGCTGGCCAATTAAAATTACTAATCAATCTTTCGGATGAGACTTTTAAATCGAGTTCCCATGTATGAGTGCTTTATTTGCTGCTTATACGTTTTGCAAGTTAAAGAAACAGGAGAATCTTCTTGAATTGTGAAATATTTCTGTATCTGTATCTTGCACTATCCTTCTAAATATGAAATGACTAATGCACTTCTGGAGGGCAGCCGGTGGCGAGTGTAATTAAACCAAAATACACCAAGCACATTTAACAACAAATTCTACAAAATAATTGAGATTTGTTAAGGCGTCATATTAAATCATTGTCTGAAATATTACTTTATTAATATGATTAAACTGCCAAAAAAATGTCTGGATATTTTATGCTATAAAGTTTTCATATAATGCAATGTACGTCTGATATCAAACGTAAAGGCAGTGTAATACAAGTTTTACCTCACAATTTAGCAAAGGAATTTAGAAGGGACAATGGTTACGTCATTTGTGATTGAATAACTTGTCATTGCACAAAATTTACTGAAATTGTATGCCACAGATTATATTTTATAGTCGCTCACGCTTTCTTTTAGTTAGTGCCTTTCTTTAAGAAAAAATGCAGTATGTATACTCATTTAATTGTATGTTAGGTAGAATTAGAACGTAACGACTGAAAGCAAACTCACCCACTCACCCCTAAAAAAAATAAATAATAAATAATAAAAAACGTAATTATAAATATATGCTATACGAGTATGAGTAAAGGAAACTTACTTCCATGCATGTACACAACTCCAAAATGAAGCATGGCTACCGCCGATTTTTAATTCATAATCATGTTTCATTTATGAGTCTCTTTCATCTTTACATGTCTACGTCCCCGCAAGAGGTTTGACATTAACGGAAGATATATAGATCAATCAAAATAAAAGAAAATTATGTCCACTTCTTTAATTTTTCACTTTTTGCATTTACAAAAATAAATATAATCATCATCATTACCCTCAACATTTTATCTTTCGGGTTAGGGTAATGATGTGAATGATGTTTAGGTAGAGACACAATAAAAACATGGTGCTTTCAACTTTATGAATTTATTCTTGATACATCACAACAATATTATTAGCAAGCAAAACTAGAAATAAAAAGAAACAATCAAATGTTCATACATTTCCAATGACATGCGTCAGTTTATAATAAAAAAAACACAAAGAAATACATGTAAATGAGCTGCGTCACGACAAAACCAACATAATGGGTTTGCGACCAGCATGGATCCAGACCAGCCTGCGCATCCGCGCAGTATGATCAGGATCCATACTGTTCGCTAACCAACCCTATTACAAGTATAGAAACTGATAGCGAACAGCATGGATCCTGATCAGACTGCGCGGATGCGCAGGCTGGTCTGGATCCATGTTGGTCGCAAACGCACTATGTTGGTTTTGTCGTGACGCGGCTCAAATATTTTTAATTTATTTTTGCAAGTATATATTGCACACACAAATACACCAAACAATTTTAAAAAAAGTTGTTTTTCCTTTGCGGTATTTCTAAGATATTGCTTGTTGTAGGAATGTCTAAATGATAAATAAATAAATATTCTAAATGATGCATTCTTTGCTGCAAAATTACAATTATTTCTAAAATGTTATCCTTTAAAAGATTAAACAATGACTGATAATAGATAAATTATTATTTGTATGTCTTTTCTGTTAAAATTAAATTTAAAAATCTGATGTTGACTTAATCATCTCCATAATCCTCCAAATCGATCAAAGTTGTTGGCCCTCTTGTTACATTTTCGTCGACCTTGCTTCCGATTTTTCCAAAACCACCGTCACCTTCTTTTCCGTTCTTCATCTTTCCCCCACTCTTGCAAAGTTTCCAGAAACGCCGCTTTCTCTTCCTTTCTTTGTGAAAAGCTTTCTTCATGTATACATCAATGCCGTTGTTGTTGTTAGCCTCGTCCTGTTTGATTGTATCCGTTTGAGCATTCATTTCTCCCATTTGATTGGTTGGATATATTCTGGTAACAACAATCTCGTTAACATTATCCTTGCAAAGTGATGCGCAAATAATAAACGTGAAAAATCGAGAAAATAATGACCGCTTCTTCTTTGCGGCAGCCATGTTTTGTTCCTTACGATATACTAACATTTCATAACAACGACGTCAATGACGTTTTTAATTCTGTGACGTAACCATTTTTTTTAATGATTTCCCATTCCCGGCGCTCTGTTCTGTTTTACCAAGAGTCTTACGATACATATGTGTGTGGTCATGCTTGACTTGAGCTGCATTTGTAAAAAGGTGGGATCCGATTTATACGATTCCCTTGGTAAGTTTGTCAAATACATGTAGGCCTAGTCGTCAGTGGCAGTGAGTAGTAATTGGCCATACATGGTTGAGTTTAATCCCTGCTAATACGATTAGAATTATGAAATCTCTTCGGTGGAACATAAAAGCAGAAACCCTTTTAATTGTGTTTTTCACTTACAAGTTAAAGACACGGCCAGTCATTACATCTGAAATTAATGTTGTAAGGTGTAATTATATAAGGATCCATTGCACTGTCTCTAAAAATAAAACATTGAACAATGATTAAAGTAACTTGCCATATCAGGGAATATTGGCTATGTAAACTTTGCATTTCTTTACCACTGTCTCAGTCATCCATCCATCCATCTTGATCAGACGATAACGATATTGCATTTTTAAGTCAGCATTATTTTACGTTTGCATGGCGTCGTAAACATGGCTGCCGGGCCAATTGCAGAAAGAAATCAAGGTTTGGTCATGATTTGAAGCATGTTTTGAGAGTTTGTACATTTTACAAGGCGTCAATTGTGATTAAAAGTTATTTTATATCACTTTTTTGCTAAAACATAACGATATAAATGTTTTCTGGGTTAAAGGATTTTACTCGACCATTGTAAAATAGTGGGTGGGGTACAATTATTTGTAATTTCACATATTTCGGTCGGTAACAAAGAAATGTTTGCAGAGATTTTTTCACATTATGTAACAGAAACCTAAAAGGGCCTATCCCAGAGGAAATTGTATTTAAAATCATGCAGTTTTCCCAAAAATCTGAACCTGCAAAAAGGTCAACAGTTTAAATTTCTGTTGAACCTTGCAAGATATTGTATACATGTGACTTACCCATCTAAATACAAATTGAAACAATGGTAAGGCCATTTGTTATTGTTACTAAACCATTAGCCCTATCAAAGTTTTGTTCCAATTGTTGGATCACCTTTATAACAGTAATGTTATCCAAGGTGTAAAGCTAACTTTAGTCTGCTAACCAATGTTGAGTGGGTGGACAAATGTTCAGCATATAGTTATACCAATGCTTGGCGTGAAATATTATTTCTGTATAAATATCTGACAATGTTTGATAGAATATCCAATTTAGGACACTGGTTCTTTTATTTACATCATTCGTGATTTTATCCTGGTGCGTTTAATTCCTTCGAAGTCACATGACCACGGTATAGTAGAGGATAGACTAAGGTCTAAATAAAGTCCATACCGTTCTCAAGTTATCTTTGTTAATATACAATATCTGCCATTAAGCATGAAAATTTGAAAGGTTTTTTATGAATCTAGCACTATGAATATGATGTGTCAAAAGATGCATCAGTTTCAAGCAAGGTTCCGAATAATTATGCTAGTTAAAATCAGAATGGTACCAAAAAGTCTGGCAAAAGTTTTTCTAGAACCACCAGCACTAGAGCCTTTCAAAAAACGAAGAACCACATATGATAAGGCAAGGGTTGTTGCATCTAAATATACTAATAAGTCTGAAGGTCAGTTAAAGAATTTAAGAAGGTTTAATTTGCTAAAAGCCAGTTAAAATTCACCCCTGAAGCTCCCTTGCCCGAGACAGTGTGTCTCTGGTACAGCAATGGTGGCTGATCCAATGTCCGACCAGGGTTCGTAATAATCCAGAACAATTGAGAAATCCAGATTCAAAGCCAAAATGGTCACTTGAGAGCGATGTAAATCTGAGGAGTTTTTCAGGGGTGGGATGAGGTAACAGCCCTGGCAAATATATTATTTTATTATCAGGCCATCAAAAATAATGACTGTGTGTCCATTCATGTCAAGAATTTGTTTTAAAATGTTGAACGCTATCACCGAAAATTACGTTTGTATTTTTAATTTCCAAAACCTTAGTTCATACATTTTAATTTTTTCCTCATGCAGAACTCTTCTTACACATACCACTGAACATCTGGGCACGGCCAAAAAAGAAACAAAAAGAAGAGAAATTCGATATGTGTAAGAAGAGTTATGCGCGAGGGAAAAATTAAAATGTACGAACTAAGTTTTCGATAGATAATTTGTCCAGATAATTGATTGAGAACTCGGGTAATATTTCAAAGTCATAGGCAATGTAAAAAAAAACTATTCTAGTGCACTTCCCAGCATAAATTTTGTAACAAAAGGCAAAACTAAAAAAGTTATCTAAAAAAATCATTCATTATCATTGCTCAAATGAAGTAAAAGAAGTCCTGGATATGCAGTCTGGAATGGTCTAAAATAAAAATGCTTAAAATCCATTTTTGTCAATGGAGCTTTGCCCCCCTGAGCCCTATACAGGGGCACTGCCCTTTGACCCTGCTAAGGGCCTGTGTCCCTCAAACCCCAAGCTATTTTCAGGATTGGCAATCTGGCTGTGTAACGACCCCTGCCGATGATTGTGTCTGTAAAATTTGTATGACCAGCAGAGCTGTACTGGGTTTGGTGTGATACCTCATCCTGGTGCCTACCTTCCTCTTCTGACATAGATATAAGTCTTATTTGTGAAACTTTGTGGCTACTGTATGTAATACCTATTTAAAAACAGAGGAATAATATGATAACATAGATTTACACATTCTTACATGAATATAATGATATCTGATAAGTGACTGGTTGTTTTATTTGGAAAAATACAATTAATATCTTAATGATATGTTGGTCTGTTGATACGATTATATGTTTAAACTTATATGTAGTAATATGTTTACTGTCCGTGTTATGTTTCGGAAAAGGCGGAAAAATACTAACATTTGAAATTTTATGAGACTAGGGTACAGGAATAAGCCAAAAGAAAAAAAAGTACAAATAAATTTATTGACTTATTGCTTGTTACAATTTATTAAGTATGTTTTCTTCATAACATTGGAAAATAAATATTTTGAAAATCAAACCTGGATCATTTAGTACAGTACGCCGAGCTAGGGTACAATTTCACTTAAACGGCACATGTTTATCAGGGCTAGATTTAGCTCCCGCCAAGTAAGTAATTATGTGATTAGCGAAATGTAAGCAATTGTTATTGGGTCTTGAAAATGGACATATATATAACATTAAGGTACATGTAAGTTGACACCAATTTTTTTTTTTTAATCTAAAATATTGTCTTTTTACGCTGAGCATTGGTCCAATCATTCTAGGTTTATTTGAATAAACACTGTGATTTTCATCATTGCGCTGCCTTGTATCCTTTCCCTCTTTACCATAAATGGCCTTGTACACCTGTTCATGTTTTCTGACAACTCATATTTCCCCTTGAATACTAGACTAGTCAATGCATACAAACATGATGCCCTGCATCTTTGTCAAGCAGTCCTTGGTAAAAACAATTAATGACTTGCTTACTTAGAACTAATTAATGATACTGGCAAGCTCTTAAATGCTTTTACCACTAGAATCAAACAAGTCATTTCCCAAAATCTTCCAAAATACTCGTCAGGATTTTGAAAAGCCTGTTGGTGTTGTGCTTGAAAAGCAGCAGGTAAGTCATGTTGCCAATACCACCTTAAAATTTTTCAGAGCTCCAGATAAGCTTTTTAGCTGCGTATTTGCATAAATATGCACTATATTGTCCAATTACTCAAATTGAAATCTAGAGCTGCGTACAACAAAATAATTGTTTAAATAAATTACCCAATTTGTAATTATTAGAGTGTGTATCTTCAGTGTCATTCAGAATGACAAAGTACTCCATAAACACCAGCAAAGGCCATGTACATGTAATGTTTCTTCACAGTGACTTATTTTAGTCACAGAGACTAAATATAGGTTTTCTTACTTTTCTTTGTTATTAATAATGACATAGCAGTATTTTCAGCTTTATCAAAATATCTTAAAGGAGTATACATTAATTTCTCGATTTCTCCCATGAGTATATCAAACATCTTTCAAAGAAGTGGAAATGAAATATGCTTGAATTCTATTTATAGATGCCACAGTTTATGTGGGCGGTCTTGATGAGAAGGTATCTGAAGCTATTCTCTGGGAACTGTTTCTGCAGGCAGGTCCTGTTGGTAAGTGATCTAACTTTCTAGGTTTAAACCCCGCATGTTACTTGATAGGTGCACAAGCAATTTTGAGCTATTCAGGACATATATAGCAGGAATCGAAAAATCCCACTCCTCTGTTTATATGGGCAAATGTTCCATATCATTCTGCATGTGCATATATTTACAGATTTACTGACATATTGTCACCTCTGTGCAGTAAATGGTTAAATCCTTATATAATTTATAGAAGTTAACCTGTTACTGCACTAAGGTGATGATTAAATGTAGGGATTTTTTCCCTAAAACTTTAATTTTAATTTTACCAGGCAACCAGTACTGACAAATATCAATTTCTTTATTAAACTGCTTAATTTCTGCATTTTTATGAAATCATTTAAAATAATAATATAGGTGCATATTTAATGCACAAATTTTCTGGTAGCATTACACAAATGTAAAAGAATGTACATGTATATCGTTATAAAAAGGTTGAGTAAGGATTGTTGCAAAAACAACCTATAAAAATGTCTGCACCCGCACACGGAATGTTTCAAATTGTCACAATGATCATTGATGTCATTGGTCCAGAAAACTTCGAACAATGGGTAATACTGGGTGTTTGTGTATAATACATTAATAGCGAACATTTTGTGTTGTCATTGAACCAGAAGAAAACTTTATACGAGTTAATATGTTCATCGTGTAATAACTCGTTTTTGTGTATTATAGTGAATGTCCATATGCCGAAAGACAGGGTAACTCAGGCACATCAGGGCTATGGTTTTGTAGAGTTTATGGGAGAGGAAGATGCAGATTACGCAATCAAAATTATGAACATGATCAAAATGTACGGGAAACCTATACGAGTGAATAAGGTACATTTTAGTTTTTTACTCTATCATTTAATAGAATAAAGGTAAGTTTCAGGTTAGTTAAGAAAGTAATGAATTTTGTAACGAATTTCAAATTTTGATCGCTCAAATGGCGTGTTTATCCTGCGCTTAACAAATTTGATGTATTTTGATATGTGTTGGAATTGTGTGAATAGATTTATTATGAAGATTCTATCCAGAAAAAGAAAAAAAAGTTTTTGAAGGTTTGTTAAACCCAATTCTGCTTTGTTCACTGTACGCATAAAAATTTCCCAAAAGTTGATGAATGCTTTTGTTCAGAAAAAAAAAATGACAAGTCTATTTAAGATTTTTAGTGTGGTAACGGTTAATTTGCTACATGTATGTATGTTTAATTTTACGAATTTAAAAAGTAAGGGGTGGGGGCGTCTTTGGCCATTAAGTTAAGGTCATTAAGTTCAAACCACTTGCTGCTCACTGTGGGTTTGAATCCTGACAGGGACTTTGGATTCTTTCATGTGAGGTAGCTTTCCATCAGGTATGATCATCAGTTGTTCTACCAAACAAAAAAACAAAAAACAAAAAAATATATATAATTTATGATTAAATAGAATAAAAGTATGGGTTTAAGGTTTGTTGCAAAAAAAAACAACAACTAAAAATGTCGGCACCAGGAATGTTGTCAAATTGATATACCTGGAAGTACAGGAATATAATTGTGCATATTGCAAACATTATTTTCTATGATATTAATAAAACTTAGTATGTATGTTTCTATTTTAGGCATCTGCAAACCAACGAAATCTGGATGTCGGGGCTAATATATTTATCGGTAATTTAGATCCAGAAGTGGACGAGAAACTTCTATATGACACATTTAGTGCCTTTGGCGTCATCTTACAAACTCCTAAGGTAAATATTTGGTATATCGATTGTCATACTAAATGTAAACATATCAAAACCAGAACTGAAATAGTTGTTTAAGAATTGATTTCATTTCCTTTTGCCACAAGGATTTCGCTGACTTTTAGTCAGTAATAATAAAAAATGACAGAGAATATTATATCACATCATTTTACTTTGAAAGACATTATAACCATTAAGACCTCAAAACAGAAGTGCATAGTCATTCAAAATTGATTATCTCCCTTTCTCAGAACAGTAGTACATAGCCATCCAAAATTTGATAACCTACCTTTGTTAGAACAAGTACATTGTTATTCTAATGGATTACCTCCCTTTGTCTATTTAAGGCATATTTAAAAAGATTGTTCTAGGAAGTCTTTCAAAGCAATCTCACCCATGAAGTTAGTTTTGTATAGATAAGTTACTTAGTTATTTGAATTTGATCATCTATAGTGCCCTTAATAGTTGAGTTGTTACAGTGGGTTGGTGGCTGAATCATTTACCTTTCATAAGTGTGGGTTCAAATCCTGTCCAGAGTTTTTGGATTCTTTTAACAAACAAAGAAGCTGTTGAGCTACATGTACCTTAAAAGGCTTTTTCCTAGTGTCACCATGGTCAGACTATCTTGACTATTTTCCGACTGCAATTATGCTAATTTTTATCTCCAATTTTTTAGAGAAAATTCCTGATTAAACTGAAATTTCCGTTATCTACTGACATGTTTACTGAAGTTTTGGTTGTTATTTTATGTGCTTAGATTAGAATAAGCAATGACACACCTGTTAAATTTCTTTGTCAAAAGAACAAGAAAGGAGGTTTCATAAGGTACTAAGTATTTCCCAAACTAGGTACTTTTTCAATATGTGGCTAGGAAATGGCCTACAGTTCAGAAGGAAGTGATTCTAGTATCTACAAACAAACAAAGATATTAAGTCAAGAGGAAAGGGATGAGATTCCTGTAATCAAAGTTTGAAGTAGCTTTAAAATAGATAATTTAAAGTTTACTGTTGCTACAAGTATTGAAAAGTTTCATTTAATAAGCGAAACGATAAAAGATGCTCATGTATGATGACATTGACATTCTTTTCCTAAAGAAGCAAAATATATGTATTATGGCATTTGTTTTGCCTGTTTTTCCATTTAGTTATGATATTCTTTACATTCAGATATAGTCCTGCTATTCTAAAAATTATATTCTATAAATTTCACAATTGGTTTATCAGAATAAAATCATCTGATATATTAAAGTAATACACTGGAAAGCATGAAATAATATGTTTTATCACACATCCTTGCAACTTTTACAACTCCGTAATACACAGTATATAAACGATTTGAACCCCAACCGGATCTTGTGAGAAGAATTCAGCATCTAAACGTACAATCAGGCGGGATGACACATTAAACTATTAAAAATCGGCTTGAATTTAATATGTTACGGTATGTTAACATTTGAATCATATTAAGAAATAATTTATCTTTGCTTAAATATACATCCATAACCTTCTTCGTAAAATATATGCGCATAAAACGCTGTGCTCTTCGCCTCATATTTTGTTTATGTCAACACACGCTGATTACACAAGCAAATGTATGCCTAAAATTGTTTTATTTCACTATAACTCATATCTGAATCTTAACTTTATTGTCTTTACCTCATGTTACCGGATAGACACTTGTGAAAATATCTTTGAATATTGATAAAACATAGTAAATAATAGAGGCGACATTTCTGATAACTGTACCCGTCTTGCTAAAACAATTTTAATGATCTGTACCCTACTTGTGTTTTCACTGAACCATTACTTGCGAGTCACTTTTGATGATTTTTATTGTGTTTTTGTCGTATGTTCCAAATTTTAATGTGCAGAATATGAAGTTATTGTGTCAAAAGAGAAGGGTACATGTTTTAGTTCTATGTAAGTAACTAAAACTTTTCACTGTCTACGAAAATACCGGCATGAAGTGGCTGTTTATACGAATCAGAAAGTCAATTATTTCTTGATAGGAATAATTAACTAACAAACCTCACCTTCACTTACCATTCATTTTTCTTTGGAAAGATATAAAGCTAAAATATTACATATGTACTATAAATTGTTTATATTTAGTTCAACGTCATTGTTGTTAGTTTTGACGTGACCGATATATAACGTCACGTATCAAAAAACCTCGAAATATCATTACAAGATTTTTTTGCAGATTACTTATTTCAACATGTTGAAAGTTTTACACCTACCGTTGATTTCATTCTGCTTTTTTAAACGCTGTTTTATATTCTCAGAAATTCATTGACTTTCTTTTTCTGATATGTACGACTTTTATTCTTGTATATCTTTCATAGACGTCGACAATTTTGGCATTTTTTTAAACGGAGAATATTTGGGAAATTTTGAAATTTTAATTGTCAGTGTTTCAGCTATTGGTGTTATAAACTTCTTTTTTTTTCGTTTACGTTATTGGCTGTGACGTTGAAATTTTTTAAGTAGGAAATTTTATTCTGATAATTATTTATTATTTTCAAGTTGCAGTCTGGATGGCGAATAATTATGTGGTCAATGATGTCATTGAAATTCGTAGTCTTTACTGAACAGTATATGCAGTTGTATTCTTCCATGGTGATCCGAAAGAAAAATATACATAGCATTATATATTTTATTAAAAAAATGATTAACAATATTATCAGTTAAACCAATTCTCGGTAAATACCTTAGATCCCACCTTATATACTAAAATTCTTCAACAATCATTTATATTTTCTGGCAATAATTGATACAAAATCGCAATGAACGTAAACTTTTTCTCCAATAAATCTTTAAAAATACTCACAAGTCAGGGTACAGATAAAATTCGTAAACTCACAAGTAGGGTTCACAATCACCAGCAAGTGACGTTCAGTTTACGGAAATGACCTCCTTGGTAAAACTCTTAAATTTATGTTCAAGATACAGCAATATGTTATGCATAGGACTAAATTATCGTTTGTTATTGATTACTTTAGTAGTTCGATATCACAATTCAATGTTTAACTAAATCAACATTGGAATAAGACGGATTTTTGTTCGTCTTCAGTGTTGATCACCTGAAAGCTGTTCGTGAGTTTCGATTATTTTATAGCCTTCGTGCTAACGTTTATGTTTTGCATAACTTAGACGTTTAATAAAGTTTCTCTCTCGCAATATAAATATAGATTTACTAACCTAACGTTCATCAGTATCAATATAAATACCAATATCGTAAACAAGTGAAGTGGCAGAATATGGCTGACACTAAAATCTTCTCACAAGATCCGGTTGGGGTTCAAATCGTTTATATACTGTGTAATAGCGATATTGCATGAGCGTGCATATATTTTGAAGTGACATCATTAATGTTATACAAACATAAAGAAAGGACGCTCTAAATGTTAGCGTTACACTATGGCATGTCAATGAAAAATTTATTTATTTTTAGTGTAAACAGTACTTATTTTTGATATGTGATAAAAAGAATATTAAATTCATTTAGCTTCATTACTAAATTTATTGAAATCTTTGAATAAAATAATATCATGCTCGCCAAAGGCTGGCACTATATAATTTTATTCAACTCACTCAATAAATTCAGTATTGAACCTACACTCGTTAATTATCCTCTGTATGTACTCTATTTTAACACGAAATAATTTCTGTGATTTCTATTTTTAGATTATGAGAGATCCAGACACCGGAAACTCTAAAGGTTACGCGTTCATCAACTTCGCAAGTTTTGAGGCGGCAGATTCCGCTATAGAAGCCATGAATGGACAGTTTTTGTGCAATAGAGCGATTAGTATATCGTACGCATTCCGAAAAGATTCTAAAGGAGAGAGGCATGGTTCCGCCGCAGGTTCGTTGAAATGTTTTGTTGTTTTTATTGATGTATTTCAGCTTATTATAAAAAAATTGGATATAAGATCTTCGATAAATTACGACAATTGTGGTTTGTCTATCATTAGTAGTAAGTACGGGGTTTTCATTATTATCTGAGGCAAAGGTTATGCCAAGTGAAAATAGCTGATTTGGCCAAGGTTAAATGGGGATATTTTAATATACAGTCTGAAAAAACAAATGATTTTAACAGCATTTCAACCGATGATATGGATTGCCCATCTGTAAATGATGAAAACTCTAAATTTAACTGCCATAGTTATTCTTAGCTCACTCTTGTAACCTGTTTGCTTGGATCTTATTCATTTCAAATTCAAAACATTTGCTCGTCGGTGCCTGCTGTGGGTGGAATCCTACTGAAGTAAAGTAGATTACCTGCACTTTTATCAAATCTTTACATAAATGTGTGAGAGCCATCTTTGCTCTCCTGTTTTCTATAGTTTCTCATTTAGAGATTTTTGCAGGATAAATTTCATTCATGCTCTATTCAATGTGTTTTGTCGTGGAAAATTAATTATTTAAACCAGAAATACAGTCTAACTTGCCCATGCGACCACGTGTATTAAGCGACTTTTGTCTTAAATGACCACTTTAAATTCCCCCCGATCATTTTCTCTCTATATCTTTAATGTATTAAGCGACTTTCGCTCAACACGACCAGCGACCGCTAATTAGTCACCTAATTGACATCAATCTTTTCATTAAACGACCACTTTTACCTGTCAAGTAATTGTGTTTTTAGAGAACGCCACCTCGTTATGTCACAAGTGTCAACAATCAAAACACAACAATAAACATGTGAAAAACTCTATTTCCCATACCGTTTTAGCGTATGCAAATGAAGTTAAGTATACGCGTGACGTGTATTATCCAATAATATCGGATAAACAATGCAACGCTCCGCCCATACTGAGATGGTGTATACGCTTCGCTTGTTGACATTTAGACTGCATTGAATTGACCTTGAACTTGATCAGCCATTAAATTAATCATAACAAATAGATGTAGTTTGTTTATTTCAAATGAAAAAATGCACAATAGAAAACATCTTCACTAATAGGGTTTTCGTGATGGAGACAAGGAAAAACAATCGAGAAGTTTGTTCTGGAAAAAATGTCAAACATGTACGTAATGGATCAAAACTGTTTTGTCAATAAATATTATTATTTTTTACATTTGCATCCATTTTGATTATCGGAGCGTACTTATTATTCAACATTTATATTAAAATGAAGTTGAAAAACAAATCCCACCGAATAAAAAGATGTCATTTATAAATTTTGACTTTTATATCATGCTGACTGTCTTAAGAGACCGTTTCATTAAGCAACCATTTTGGGTGTTTCCCTTGCCTGGTCGTTTAATACACGTTTGACTGTAAAGTCACAAAAACCAGGGCTTATAAATCACTGTTAACTTAACAACTGTGGTCACCCTTACAACTTGATGAACTGGTACATTTAACTGCAGTCTTTCATTAGAGGCTCTTAGAAATATAAGTTTGCGGTAGATCAAGAATGTCGAGTATAACAAAAATACTTTTAACGCAACATTTGTTACTTAATAAACGAAACAAAATGTCAAATGATCTCGAGAACCAAAGAAATTAATTGATTTCCTGTTTGCCATTAGATGGAGAATTGACGTCATTTAAATATAAATGAGCCGCGTCACGACAAAACCAACATAATGGGTTTGCGACCAGCATGGATCCAGACCAGCCTGCGCATCTGAGCAGTCTGATCAGGATCCATGCTGTTCACTTACAAACCCTATAACAAGTAGAGAAACTGATAGCGAACAGCATGGATCCTGATCAGACTGCACGGATGTGCAGGCTGGTCTGGATCCATGCTGGTCGCAAACCCATTATGTTGGTTTTGTCGTGACGCGGCTCAAATGATGTTGATAACAGTGCGTAACAGGAAGCATCTTGTTTTGTTAATTAACTTTTATTTATTTGCTTATGATTTATTGTTCTTACGTATGTGACAAATGTTTATCATTGCAAACATATGGTACCAATTCATTGTAAAGTAAAAATAAAACATGCAGGTTTTAATATTTATATAAAATGTTGTATTGGAAAACATCATGGTTGCAACTCTTAGATTAAACTTGATTTATTTTAGCTTTGTAGGTTTCAGTAACCTTTCTCTGGCACTTTTTTCTTAGAAATAACCATTAATTTGTGTCATACATGTTACCAGGAAATATAGATGTGAGGCTGATGACTCCAGAAAAGCTTCAACCCACGCCCTGGTTCGAATTTAGAAAAGGCCATTTATATATTTAAAGGCCCATTAATGTTTTTATTTTTATTCTTCAAAAGCATTTTAATTTTGATGTACTTTTATAGTATCCAAAAGGTTACTCATTGGCCAATTGCCTGAACCATTTTGTACATTTGTTGCCTTTTTGCAATAAGTACACTTACTGTGAATTAGTATTTTGTATGGAAGTCAAAATACTACTTTGTTAACATTTTGCTACTTTTATGACATATTATTTCACTATTGTCACTGCCTTGAGGTATCAAGCATGTAACATTCAGTTAAACAATTATCTAAACATTATATCATTCATGTTTTCTCTATCTTAAGAAGTAAAAATTTATTTATTTCCAAGGCATAATGTGCCTTAAAAGGAGCGAAGAAATGGGCTACCAACAGTATAGAGCTGTGTGAGACTGCACCAATTTGTAGGCTGGCCTGGCTCTATACTGGTTGCAAAACCTTATCACTTTTGGTTCCCCCAGGTTGGGAATGCTACAATTATTATTATTTCTAGGTCTGGTAACTAAGTTGTTAATAAACAGTGTGCTCCTCTAGAAGCAACATTGTATAAAGGAAATTTATGCCCTAACTGAGATTTTGTTTGTTTGTGTTTTCATAACTTAATTTGCATTAACCATCCCCTATCAAAAATATTGCTACTATTGGAAATTTGCTCCTCCCATTTCTATTTATAGGAAATAGGAACCTTTAAACAGGTGAGGTTTAGCTAAGGCCTAAAATAAAATATTGTTTGTGTCCTCTCCCGGTACCTGTCCACGAAAATCGCTGCTACCCAAAAGATTTAGAAATTCAAAAAATTTAGAATCACATATTTGTTTTCATGTTTTCTGCATTGTGAATTATACACTCTAGTATCTTTGTTTTGTTTTTTTAAATAAAACTTTGAAACTTTGCTTCAAAATTTTGAACATATTTTTTTTTAATAAATAATAATGTTAAATTCAGAAACATTGGATTCCTGCGCCTGCCTGCCAACCTACCCTATCCAAAGTGGCATATTGGGTTGTGGGAGGGGAAACAAAGATAATTTCAAGGCTGGCCTTACAAATAGAATTTAATAACATAATATGATTCTTTCATTATAATTGGATACTGTATCAAGAAAATATGTAACGTAAAATTTTCTAGTGCGATGAACTTTGGCTCTAAAATGGTGTATGTATTCCATAAAAAAACATTTTGCAAATTTTCCTGGAAATTGGAAACGTGACATTTATTTTCCCACTAAGATATTGTTTATTACTTTAATTGACATTTATGCTTCAGAACTAATTTCCTTTATAAGAATTGTTTTGAAGTTGTTATATTTTTGGTTGAGTGTATGTTGCTTTGATCCATGGGCAAAAATAATATTTTCTTTCATCGGGTAGTAAAAAATACATGTACTATTTTTGATACAAATTAGTTTGAAAATACTTTTTTAGATATGAATTAGTTTTGCAGCACAAATTAATAACTAAAGGCAACTAAGTTAACTGGTAGATAATAAAAGCAAATTTGTTTTTATTGAAGTTTGTGGCATTATTACTACAAAACAGTAGATTAGAATTTACCATTTGAGCCGTGTCACGACAAAACCAACATAGTGCGTTTGCGACCAGCATAGATCCAGACCAGCCTGCGCGTCCGCGCAGTCTGATCAGGATCCATGCTGTTCGCTGTCAGTTTCTCTACTTGTAATAGAGTTTGTAAACGAACAGCATGGATCCTGATCAGACTGCGTGGATGCGCAGGCTGGTCTGGATCCATGTTGGTCGCAAACCCATTATGTTGGTTTTGTCGAGACGAGGCTCATATATTCTCTAATAAACTCCCTGGGGGCGTAAGATTTTCAATAAGTGTGGGCATTATTTAAATTTTCAATTTTGGTCAATTTCATTATTTGTGAAATAGAACTGATTATCTATGAGAAGTGGGGTTAGCAAATGAACTGAAATTTTGTACACAAAATTTTGTACCTGACCTACATCCATTTATACAAAAAAATTTTTTTTATAAAGACTGTTTTTGGCCCTTTTATGTAAAAAACCTCAGTGGTTTACCCTTTGAGGTATAGAAAAATTTGAATATTGTAAAATGTTTTTTTGAGGATTTTCATAGAACATTAATAGCTTTAATACTACCATTTAATGACAATTTTCAAATATTTCCTGTCTTATGTTTTTCAGAACGTATGATGGCAGCAAAGAACCCACTATCACTTACAGATAGACCTCATCAATTATTTGCAGATGCCCCTCCCCCTCAGCAACCTCCAGCCCCTGCTGGAAGTGTAGTCCCGCCTCCACCTCCTCCTGTTCAGCAAATGGCCCCTGGTCAAGGCCCAGGTAACATTTTATCATCAGTTAATTGAATTTCATATGATTGATTATAAAAAATCTGTTCATTTCTAAAGATATTTGACACAGTGTAACTTTAGAAACAACATGTAGCTGTAAACTACAGTACAACCTTGACAGAGCAACATCTTTTTGGAAACAAAAGATTTTGGTTCTTGCAGAGAGGTGTTACTGTAGAAAGGTAAAAATGTTATTGTGATGTCTTTATTTTTGGGAGGAAATATTAAACACTATAATTGTTGGAAATGCTCCCATGTAGAGGGTTGCATACATGTATGTTGAATTTTTACGCATGGTTTGCTCCATAGAAAGAGCATTGGATTATTAATCCAGAGGTCACTGGTTTGATCTTCAGACAAGAAGAAATTTCTCTGTGACAATTAACCTTGAACATTGAGTTTAATGGTCATTTGTCTCTCATCGCTGATAAAGAAATCACGAGGGATAAGTAGTTGTTCATTTGTGAAAAAGTTGTTATTTATCTATGAAAGTCATTTCACTGGATCAACTGTGGATATATGACAAAAATGACAAAAAACATGTTTAAAAGTCAGTGTTAAAATTTAAAAAAACAATCTAATGAAAAGAAACTTATTAAACAAGTTGTTTATTCAACATAATTTTATTGTCAGCCACATTTCTTCTGTGCATGCTCTCCATCCCAGGAGATGCAACAGGTTGGTTCTTCATCATGCAAGGGATAAAGCACTTTGGTTTTTAAAGTCATGTGTAAAAGACTTGTCAGAAGTTTTAGCTGTGAAAGATCAAACTTGTGACCAATGAATTTCTACTAAAACAGACACACAACATAACCATAAATATATATACATGACCTTGATGTGATATTCTTTTATTATTTATTTATAGGTGGACCAGTATCATCACAACAGACATCGTTACCTCCTCCAGTACCCCCCCCAATGGGAGCACCAATACCGCCCCCTGTTTCAGGAGCTCCGCCCATGATGCCTCCTCCTGTTCCGCCTTCAGGGATGCCACCATTCAGTGGACCTCCCCCAGGTATTCTTAAATTTTTCTTTCTCTGTACCAAAAAAAACACAACATTTTTTATTCTTTTTCATTTACCTTGTTACTTAACAGTATTTTAAAAGTGTAAGAATGTTAAATCAAAATTTTTAACCTTATCATGTACTTCGCTTTTCTAAATTTAATAATGCTATCTCAGCTTTATTACTACCATTAAAGAGTAAAAAAAATTTGCTACAGTTTAAATAATAACAATAATAATGAAGTCTTCAATTTCAAATTGAAAACAGATTTATATTTTCATTCAGTAATTGTTAAATCTTTATTATCAAGGTAACTAAGGTAGTGACCTTGTTAGTGCATATTAAAGTTATTTTTTTATGTAATTATTTTGATATTTCTATATAATTTCATAAACCTGAGTTAGAAAGGATATTATTATTACATGATAAAATGTTCATGTTTTCAGGGCCGATGGGTGCACCGCCTTTCATGCCACCAGGAATGGCTCGACCCCCACCCCCTGGTCCACCTCCGAGCTCCATGGCAAACATGCCCCCACAAGGCATGCCTCCAAGACCAGGTAAGTGGCAATTGTTTATGATGAAATAGTGAGGAAATGTTATTATATAGGATAATGCTCAGTCCAGCTCTGAAAAGAGAGAAATAACTCTTGAAATGTTTGTCCTTGAGTAATTGCCCTTGATTATAATGTAAGAAATTAATGATATATTCATCAGATAACTATTTCCTTAGCCTTTTTGCTGCTGACAAGAATGCTTTTCACATTTTCACACTGGCCCCTTTTTTGAGGGTCTTTCCCAAAATAAGATAAAAAATCTCTCATAAATATATCGTCTTCATGAAAACTGATAAAAATCTTTTACATATTCACGTTATAATAATATTTTCCTTTATATGCGTAAAAAAATTTGACAGTTCGCCTAGATTAGCTGTTTATCTTGTAGTTTTCAGATTTTGTCAATTATATGATATAGAATATTGACTGCCACTTTTGAAAAGGGAGGTAAATGTTTTAAATATTGGGAACTATTATATATGTCACTTTCACAAAAAAAAACAGATTTTTTTTTTCAGTGCTCCCAAATGCCCCCAAATTTGAAAAATTGGAACTCAAATATGTTCTCAGTACTAACAGGTTTCAAGTTTCCATTAAAGAGGGAGTAAGAATACAAAAGAACACTGTATTTTACTCCTCAATTCAAATACTAACGGGAATCTTTAAAAAAAGAAAAATCTCTCCTAATTAGGCATGCTGCTGAGGACACATTATTGAATTGTCGTAGAAAAACATGCTGGTTGTATTTATTTTCCAATGTGATTTAGAAAGGAATAGTTTTACTTCAGAAATAACCACCATAATGCATCTCTGTAGAAGCCGCTGAGCTTATTTTCAAACGAGTATAATGGTATAATAATACAATTTAGTACCGTCGTAATTTCTGCTAATAGTCTTGCGGAAGGTATCCTATATCAGGCAATGTATCTTCATATTGCGTACTAATGACGTGATTGTCATATTGCCATACATAATTCCATGTCAATTAAGGAGCTGATGATGTAATACGATACTCGTTTGAAAGAAAATGCTCGGCGTTATTTATAAGAAAATGTTAAGGTTTAGAATTTCAAGACATTGTTGTAGTAAATAGTGAGATCAGATATTCTCTGTGTAAAATTGCCTTCAAATTGTTGTTACTGTAAAATCAGAATTTTTGTGAGGGATTAAATTTCTTAACTTTTTTTGAGATTTTGGGTTTTTGAGAAAAATAAAAGTTTGCTGTGTCATTAAAAAAACTGGCAGATTTTTGTTGTTGTTGTTTTTTTAAGAAAGGACCAAATTAACTTGACCAATAATTAGGAGGCAGCTTCCCAAATGCACTTTGTACATTCTCTTACTCAAATAAGAAATATTTAGTAAGAATTTGTAGATTTTAATAGATATCTGCAATTACAATAAGATGAGCATAGATATCTTTAATCTCGCTAATTTCTCTGAAATGTTGATTTTGTGAATTTTTGGTTTCTCAAAAATGTCTGACTTTACAGTACATTTTTGTCATCCTTTCCAACAGTGAATGATCATATAGATCATTTTGACATGTACTTTTATTTATACCCAATTTTAAACTTCTGTAAGGTTCTTGTTTTGCTGAAAGTTGTCAAGCCCATTGCCTGTTTTGCAGAATTTGTTTTTGCAATGATTGTTTTTATGGTAGTGTTGTATTGATTGTTACATCAAATTGGACACATGTCACTTAATTAAGTTAGCTTGATTTTTATACAGACATGTTGATGTAAAGAGAATTGCCACTTGCAATACATGAACAAATGAAATAATATTGTATTAAAGGTTGAAATGTTGTTTTTTTGATTGTTTAATATGTAGAAGCTATGCTGAATACCAAAATTAAAGGTCAGGAGGCCCACCATAGTTTCTAAAGCTCTTTCTTTCCATATTATAACAGGCTATTTAAGGGCTGGTTCCCCCCTGGAAAGTTACTTAAAATCATGCAGTTTTCCCCTTAAACTCAAATTTACATCAAAGTTTTTTCCTCCCTATTTGCAAAGAATAACATGTATTTATTTTTTTCAATATTTAATTGAATTTAATTACCCCTATCTGTGAAAGTAAGGTGTTTCAAAAATAGATAGGTATACATATATTTAAATATATTTGTTATTTGTAATCACTTTAACCAAGAAAAAGTAATACAATTATTTTGAGTTGATTGCCTTGAAACACTATGTCTTTTTTTATCTAAATAGCCATGATGTTTTTTTTTTTCCTAGTATTCATTCATTGAAACTATTACACTATAAGTACACATGATTTATCACCTACATTGTGAAGCTAAAATTATTTTTTTCAAATTTTGTTTCAGGTATGCCACCACCCCCAGCTCCTCCTATGAACCCCACATCTACATCACAACAAATGGGAGGCTATCCACCTCAGCCCCCATTATCACAGCAGTCAAATATGGGCGGACCTCCGCCTGGAATGGGACCGCCTCCAGGAATGAGACCGCCGCCTCCTGGATGGAGAGGTCCGCCTCCACGAGGACCTCCTCCGCCTTTTGGTAAGTTTTTAAAATATTATCTAAGAGGCATTAAGATTATTAACCAGGTTTGCTGAAAGAAAAATTCTGGTTATAAGATAAGTGAATGTTTGCAGGCAGTGTGGAAGACATGAATGATTTCTTTTGTGCCCCACTCTTTTTACATTTCTCAAGGGATTTCAATGAAACTTTGATCAAATTTGCATTACCAAGTGCTCTTATGCATATATTCAAGGTATTGTGATTTGCCCATTTTTGATGTTTTGTGCAATGATCATTTTTGACGGAAAGATGGCCCTTTTTGCTTTCTTCACATATTATAAATTATTAGTGATGGAAATTACCGTCAGAATTTATTCCCTTTGATACTTTAAACATTTTCGACGACGTCACGGAACAAACTTTTGTGAATCGATTATTGTCGTTTTACATAACAGTAACTGATTACCTAGCTTACAGAATGTCAGTAGTTCTACTCAGTGTGCCTGTTTGTGCCTAAAATAATACACAAAGGGCCACCTGAGGTCTTCCTCCATCGGTAAAGATGGAGAGTTGCCACATGTCCTCTACCAGGGTTTACTTTTTAGCGAAATCAGTGTTTGTTGTTACTGTTAGCTCACCAGAACCGAAGGTTCAGGGTGAGCTATTAGTATCAAAGGGGGATGTTCCAGTGTCTGTTGTCATGCGTCAACAATCGTCTTCTCTGAAACTGCTGGCCTGATTTAAGCTAAAATAGAAATACCTTTAAACATCTATTTCTACAGAACTAATTGATGGATGATCACCAAACTTTGTCTGTAGCATTCTTGGGTAGTCTTTTATCAAGTTTGCTCATATTAATTTGATTGGGCCATTTTAGGGGTCTCTAGAGCTAAAAATAGAAAAACCTTTAGACATCTTCTACAGAACTAATTGATGGATGATCACCAAACTTTGTCTGTAGCATTCTTGGGTAGTCTTTTATCAAGTTTGCTCATATTTTAATTTGATTGGGACCACTAAAGCTAAAAATAGAAAAAAAAACCTTTAAGGGGCAGCTAAAGCTAAAAAGAGAAATACCTTTAAACTTTTATTAGTCCCCTACCGGTTTAACCGGAGGGGACTTTAGGTTTACCCTCCGTCCGTCTGTCCGTCTGTCTGTCTGTCCGTCTGTCTGTCCGTCTGTCAGTCTGTCAGTCCGTCAGTCCGTCCGTCCACAAAACTGGATCCCGCGATAACGCAAAAAGTACTGAAAATATTTTTATGAAACTTGATATATGGATAGATGGCAGTATGGAGATTATGCACGTCTTTTTTTTTTCTTCCTATGTTGAAAATTCTGGTTGCTATGGCAACAAATAGCCTGAATTTCAAGATTTCTGATTTAAATTTTTCAGCTTTTTCACTATATGTTCTTTATTTCTTAAGGTGTTTACTTCAAACTTCAAAATATATGGCAACAAATAGTCTGAAAATATGGCAAATTTAACACATAAACTGGATCCAGTGATAACTCAAAAAGTACTGAAAAAATATTTTTTATGAAACTTGAAATATGGGTAGATGGCAGTCTGGAGATTATGCACGTCTTTTTTTTCTTCCTATGTTGAAAATTCTGGTTGCTATGGCAACAAATAGCCTGAATTTCAAGATTTCTGATTTAAATTTTTCAGCTTTTTCACTATATGTTATTTATTTCTTAAGGTGTTTACTTCAAACTTTAAATATAAGTTTCTGGCCATCAACCACATCATATGTGACAAGGTTTATAACTCTAGCACAAAAAATATCAGTATTACCTCCCTTGAACTTAGATTTTTTAGGGGAAAAAATGTTGTCTTTTTTAAATAACTTCTTTATTTCCTAATGTATCTACTTCAAACTTCATATATATGTTTCTTATTATCACTCGACATTTTTGGAGAAGGTTAAATACTCTAGCAAGACTATTTCCAGAATTATGTCCCCCTTTAACTTAGATTTTTTTAAATATTAACAAATAGTCTGAAAATATGGCAAATTTAACACATAAACTGGATCCAGTGATAACTCAAAAAGTACTGAAAATATTTTTATGAAACTTGAAATATGGGTAGATGGCAGTCTGGAGATTATGCACATCTTTTTCTTTTCTTCCTATGTTGAAAATTCTGGTTGCTATGGCAACAAATAGCCTGAATTTCAAGATTTCTGATTTAAATTTTTCAGCTTTTTTCACTATATGTTCTTTTATTTCTTAAGGTGTTTACTTCAAACTTTAAATATAAGTTTCTGGTCATCAACCACATCATATGTGACAAGGTTTATAACTCTAGCACAAAAAATATCAGTATTACCTCCCTTGAACTTAGATTTTTTAGGGGAAAAATGTTGTCTTTTTTAAATAACTTCTTTATTTCCTAATGTATCTACTTCAAACTTCATATATATGTTTCTTATTATCACTCGACATTTTTGAGAAGGTTAAATACTCTAGCAAGACTATTTCCAGAATTATGTCCCCCTTTAACTTAGATTTTTTTCGAGAAACTGGTATTTTCACTCCAACTTCTTCATTCCTTATAGGATTTACTTTAAAATCCCACATCGTAATAATATGACAAGGTTGTATAAACATAATTTCCTTACTAAGCATGGAAACTTAACACATTACTGTGATATAGACAAACTTATTTTATTATGTTTTGTGGTTGATATTTTCAAATACAGACTTCATCCTCAAATTCATTATAAATGGCAATACACAGGAGTGTATGACAATTAAAGAACTTTTTGAGGGACCGGTAGGGGACTACTGTATTGCCCGCAATACTATCAAATGCTTGTTTCTACAGAAATAATTGATGGATGAGAACCAAACTTTGTCTGTAGCATTCTTAGGTAGTCTTTTATCAAGTTTGCTCATATTATTTTGATTGGCCCCGTTTAAGCTAAAGCTTAAATGTGCCAGCTCATGGCATTTCTTTAAATAATTGTGTAAATGCTCAAATTTAATATTTGAAAATATTGACAATGGATAATTTCCAACACTGAAAAGCAGTTGTTTCTGGTGTTTTATTAGCTCACCTGTCACAAAGTGACAGGGTGAGCTTTTGTGATCGCTTTTCGTCCGGCGTCCGTCCGTCCGTAAACTTTTACTTTAAATGACATCTCCTCATAAACCACTAAGCCAATTTCATCCAAATTTCACAGGAAAGTTCCTTTGGTGGTCACCTTTAAAAATTGTTCAAAGAATTTAATTCCATGCAGAACTCTGGTTGCCATGGCAACCGAAAGAAAAAACTTTAAATATCTTCTTTTAAAAAACCATAAGAGCTAGAGCTTAGATATTTGGCATGAAACATCTTCTAGTGAGTGTCTACCAAGTTTGTTCAAATAAAAGCCCTGGGGTCAAAATTGGCCCCGCCCCGGGGGTCATTGATTTTCCCTATATGCATATAGTAAAAACTTAAAAAATCTTCTTTTAAAGAACCCAAAGAGCTAGAGCTAAGATATTTAGCATGAAACATGTTCTAATGGGTGTCTACCAAGTTTGTTCAAATAAAAGCCCTGGGGTCAAAATTGGCCCCGCCCCGGGGGGTCATTGATTTTCCCTATATGCATATAGTAAAAACTAAAAAAAATCTTCTTTTAAAGAACCAAAAGAGTTAGAGCTAAGATATTTAGCATGAAACATGTTCTAATAAGTGTCTACCAAGTTTGTTCAAATAAAAGCCCTGGGGTCAAAATTTGGCCCGTTCCGGGGGGTCATTGATTTTCCCTATATGCATATAGTAAAAACTTAAAAAATCTTCTTTAAAAGAACCAAAAGAGTTAGAGCTAAGATATTTAGCATGAAACATGTTCTAATAAGTGTCTACCAAGTTTGTTCAAATAAAAGCCCTGGGGTCAAAATTGGCCCCGCCCCTGGGGGTCATTGATTTTCCCTATATGCATATAGTAAAAACTTAAAAAATCTTCTTTTAAAGAACCAAAAGAGTTAGAGCTAAGATATTTAGCATGAAACATGTTCTAATAAGTGTCTACCAAGTTTGTTCAAATAAAAGCCCTGGGGTCAAAATTGGCCCCGCCCCGGGGGGTCATTGATTTTTCCTATATGCATATAGTAAAATCTTAAAAAATCTTCTTTTAAAAGAACTCAAAGAGCTAGAGTTTAGATATTAAGCATGAAACATGTTCTAATAGGTGTCTACCAAGTTTGTTCAAATAAAAGCCCTGGGGTCAAAATTGGCCCCGCCCCAGGGGGTCATTGATTTTCCCTATATGCATATAGTTAAAAACTTTAAAAAAAAAATCTTCTTTTAAAAAGCCCAATGAGCTAGAGCTTAAGTGTTTAGCATGAAACATCTTCTTATGGGTGTCTACCAAGTTTGTGCAAATAAAAAGCCCTTGGGTTCAATTGGCCCTGCAATGTTGGGGGGTGGGGGTTGGGGGGGGGGGGGGGCTATATACAGGTGAGCGACCTCAAGTGCCATCATGGCCCTCTTGTTATATATACTTTTTTATTTGTTTTTTTTTGTATCAACATGGTTAAAAGAAAAGAAAATTTCTGTAGACAAATATATGGAATTATATAAATTATGGCAAATGACTTATGGTCGCGAGAGCCCTGCTTTACAGTGTTGGTGTGATGTAAAACCCAAACAAATGAAAAAAAATACAAACATACAAACCGTCAACAGACCTTATTTAGCCTTTTGCAAAAAAAAATCAAAAAAAATCATCTGGTGATATTTCCTTTGGCTCGTTATTGTCCTTTCTTGCCATTTTCTGTGATGATTGATCATCTTGTTTATGTGATCAAAAGACAGTGTTGAGTCAGCTGTAAGTTAGTCAAGTGGATTAGTCATAGTGTGGTCACACAAAACAAAGTGTCAGTTCAGCAGCAAGTTAATAAAAATAAGTATGTAACTATGGTTAAAACCAAGTGTCAGTTCAGCAAAAAGTTAAGTGGATAAGTCATTGTTTGGTTCAATACAAGGTGTCAGTTCAGCTGTAAGTTTAATGCATAAGTCATTGTTTGGTTCAATACAAGGTGTCAGTTCAGCTGTAAGTTTAATGCATAAATCATTGTGTGGTTCAATACAAGGTGTCAGTTCAGCTGTAAGTTTTATGCATAAGTCATTGTGTGGTTCAATACAAGGTGTCAGTTCAGCAGTAAGTTTAATGCATAAGTCATTGTTTGGTTCAATACAAGGTGTCAGTTCAGCTGTAAGTTTAATGCATAAGTCATTGTGTGGTTTCAATACAAGGTGTCAGTTCAGCTGTAAGTTTCATGCATAAGTCATTGTTTGGTTCAATACAAGGTGTCAGTTCAGCTGTAAGTTTAATGCATAAGTCATTGTTTGGTTCAATACAAGGTGTCAGTTCAGCTGTAAGTTTAATGCATAAGTCATTGTTTGGTTCAATACAAGGTGTCAGTTTCAGCTGTAAGTTTCATGCATAAGTCATTGTTTGGTTCAATACAAGGTGTCAGTTCAGCTGTTTTTGCATAAGTTATTGTGTGGTTCAATACAAGGTGTCAGTTCAGCTGTAGTTTAATGCCTAAGTCATTGTGTGGTTTCAATACAAAGGGTCAGTTCAGCTGTAAGTTTAATGCATAAGTCATTGTTTTGGTTCAATACAAGGTGTCAGTTCAGCTGTAGTTTAATGCATAAGTCATTTTGTGGTTCAATACAAGGTGTATCAGTTCAGCTGTAAGTTTAATGCATAAGTCAGTGTTTGGTTCAATACAAGGTGTCAGTTCAGCTGTAAGTTTAATGCATAAGTCAGTGTTTTGGTTCAATATAAGGTGTCAGTTTCAGCTGTAAGTTTAATGCATAAGTCATTGTTTGGTTCAATACAAGGTGTCAGTTCAGCTGTAAGTTTAATGCATAAGTCATTGTTTGGTTCAATACAAGGTGTCAGTTCAGCTGTAAGTTTCATGCATAAGTCATTGTTTGGTTCAATACAAGGTGTCAGTTCAGCTGTTTTATGCATAAGTTATTGTGTGGTTCAATACAAGGTGTCAGTTCAGCTGTAAGTTTAATGCATAAGTCATTTTTTAGTTCAATACAAAGTGTCAGTTCAGCTGTAAGTTTAATGCATAAGTCATTGTGTGGTTCAATACAAGGTGTCAGTTCAGCTGTTAGTTTAATGCATAAGTCAGTGTTTGGTTCAATACAAGGTGTCAGTTCAGCTGTAAGTTTAATGCATAAGTCAGTGTTTGGTTCAATATAAGGTGTCAGTTCAGCTGTAAGTTTAATGCATAAGTCATTGTTTGGTTCAATCACAAGGTGTCAGTTCAGCTGTAAGTTTCATGCATAAGTCATTGTGTGGTTCAATACAAGGTGTCAGTTCAGCTGTAAGTTTAATGCATAAGTCATTGTTTGGTTCAATTTACAAGGTGTCAGTTCAGCTGTAAGTTTCATGCATAAGTCATTGTTTTAGGTTCAATACAAGGCTGTCAGTTCAGCTGTAAGTTTAATGCATAAGTCATTGTTTGGTTCAATACAAGGTGTCAGTTCAGCTGTAAGTTTAATGCATAAGTCATTGTGTGGTTCAATACAAGGTGTCAGTTCAGCTGTAAGTTTCATGCATAAGTCATTGTTTGGTTCAATACAAGGTGTCAGTTCAGCTGTAAGTTTAATGCATAAGTCATTGTTTGGTTCAATACAAGGTGTCAGTTCAGCTGTAAGTTTTCATGCATAAGTCATTGTTTGGTTCAATACAAGGTGTCAGTTCAGCTGTAAGTTTTAATGCATAAGTCATTGTGTGGTTCAATACAAGGTGTCAGTTCAGCTGTAAGTTTAATGCATAAGTCATTTATGTGGTTCAATACAAGGTGTCAGTTCAGCTGTAAGTTTAATGCATAAGTCATTGTGTGGTTCAATACAAGGTGTCAGTTCAGCTGTAAGTTTAATGCATAAGTCATTGTGTGGTTCAATACAAGGTGTCAGTTCAGCTGTAAGTTTAATGCATAAGTCATTGTGTGGTTCAATACAAGGTGTCAGTTCAGCAGTAAGTTTAATGCATAAGTCATTGTGTGGTTCAATACAAGGTGTCAGTTCAGCTGTTTTATGCATAAGTCATTGTGTGGTTCAAAACAAGGTGTCAGTTCAGCTGTTTTATGCATAAGTCATTGTGTGGTCGGCAGCAGTTCTTTGGCCGAGGCCAAATATTTCTAAAATCTGAATACTACTTTGTCCTTAGCCTCTGTTTCAAGTGATTTTATATGGAAAAAGTTTGGTATATTGCTTCCGGTACATTATTTATGAACCCACCAATAGGAAATTTTCCATCAGTTAAAGAGTAACATGTAGAATAACTTGATTACCTTTGTTACATTAAAAGCCTGTATTAAAAAAGGGATTGTGGCAACAGTTTGTTGTTCAAAGCTGTCAGGCAGTCATTAGCCGTCATTATCAAGTTTGTACAAACACCGAACACGGGAAGTGAAGGATGGAAATAAGGCTTGTTCCAATCACCTTTCTAGAGTGCATTTCAAGGATGGACATTATCCCTGACCAAGCAAAATATCTGAAATGAACTTTTTCACCTTTCAGTGTGGACAGATTGGAACCATTCATCGTTTTTTGGGGGGATTTTTCATAATATCTACAGACTGAATAGCTAACAGTACAGGCTATGATTAGAAAGCACAGATGTGCAAGCTGACCTTGGTCTGCACTGGTTGCATGAGTAAATTCTGTCACTGCTAACAGGCTTACATGTTTATGTTTTTCATATATTTAATGATTTAATTCTTTTTAACAGCTCATAATATGATATATTAAGTGATTTAATTCTTTCCATATAACAGATCAGTGCATATTTGGTTGTTTAATTCCTTCCATATAACAGACCAGTATATATTAAGTGATTTAATTCTTTCCATTTAACAGACCAGTATATATTAAGTGGTTTCATTCTTTCCCTATAACAGAGCATTATATATTTAGTGATTTTATACTTTCCATATAACAGACCAGTATATATATAGTGATTTAATACATTCTATTTGTTTTCAGGAATGAGAGGTCCTCCCCCTGGAATGCGACCACCCCCACCAGGTATGGGACCACCAAGGGGCCCTGGTATGAGAGGGCCACCGCCACCTAGGGGCATGAGACCGCCACCCCCAGGAATGAGGGGGCCACCCCCTCCTCCACCTCCGTCAGGGGGAAGTAACTATGATAATTATGAAGGTGGATACTGAGGAGCTACAGGAAATCTCAGAGGACACAAAAAAGATGAATGATGGAAAGTGATGCCATGAAAAATGGTTAATAGCCAAAGAATATGGAGAAAAAATGACTTAAATCTGGATCTTTCTGCTAGCCATTATTACCAGTGTTATTATTGGTGTGATAACCGGTTTTATTACTAAAACCGGTTTTGTAACCGAAAGTGAGAACTAAATATAGAGAAAGAAACCAAGTTTTTCTTGGAGCTTAATAAGACTGAGATCACTTTAATGTTTGTGAAAGTGACACTTATTTTTCTAAAGCAAATCTGGTCAGAACAAAACAAAACACATTTTGAGCGTAAGGCTTAGATATGAAATCTTTTGTTCATGATAATCATGATCATGATAATTATAAGAATGAAAATTATAAGTGTGATGATTATGATAATTATGAAAATGATAATTATGAATAAAATAATTATAAATTATGTATTATGATTATGATAGTTATGATTTTGACAATTAAGATTATGATAATTATCATAATGATAATTAAGATTATGATAATTATCATAATGATATTTAAGATTATCATAATAAATATGATAATTAAGATTATGATAATGAATATTATGATAATTATGATCATTTTAATCTAGATAATTGTGATCATGATTAAAATAAGCATTAAAAATGCAAGAAAATTGCTGTGATGAAGCCTGTTTAAGTAATGTTGTCAGCAAGTGAACATTTTTGAGTAAAGCAGAATCAATAAGATTCCTTTCTGTCAGCTAATAAATAAAGGGGAAACTGGATTTTATAAGTGACAAAAAATGTATGAATGTTTCTCATTGTACCATTATATATCTACTGTTCATTACAGAAATGGGCTTTTCACCCATAACATTTTTCATTTAGATATTAATTTAATACTTTTGGTGTATATGGAATATATCTGATTCTGATTCTATGTTAATAACAAACAACTAAAAATTTAAAAATATTTCACTTTTCTGTGAGATAAACATTATATTTACAATTATTCATTTCTTTACTACAATTCAGATATACTTTTCATGCTCTTCATTTTTTTTTATTTGTTTGACAATCTTTCTGTCTGTTTAGGCATGGGCTAGACCAAATTTGGACTTTGGGGTACCCAGGCTCTAAATGCCAATAGAAATCTTGGCACTGGCTAATAGGGCTAGGCAAAAGGAGACAAACTTATAATAGTGTCTCTCCTATAAATTTCATAAAACTATCCTAAAAATGGGAGAAGTGCCAATTTGTTGTCACACACTATTGTTTACTCAGTTGAAAAAAACAGTGATAGATCTAACAAAAGTTATGTTTTTTTGGTCTTTTTGAAACTCTATTTTTGCCTGATTGTACAGGTGACAGAATACTTTCATGGTGGAACACAGAAAACTGTGTCAGAATGTAGCAAATCTAGCATGGAAATATGATTTCTAAATAGAAATATTAGAACAAGAATCTTCCATTGATAAATTTCACTGTTTCATTGTTTTTTGAGCTGCCACTGCAAAAGTTGACATTCTGTCCCAGTATCAGATTCAATGTGGATCACCTTTACGTAATCTGACATACATGAAATGCGGACATCACCCTACCAGGTTGCAAAGGGGTCAAAGCTTAACAGAGTTTAGAATGTTGTATAATTGATAATATTTTTAAGTCAAGCAGTAACTATTGGTTGTAAGGAAAAACAGAAGGAAATTGTATTTAATTTGTTCAGGCAAACAGATAGACAGGTATTGGGTCCTAAATTTTGTATGGGTTCCACAGAAAAATTCCCTTCCCATAGGTCACCAGGTACTTCTCTATGTCAGATTTTTGTCACATTTGCTTACAATTTCTCATGGCAGCTTCATTTATTGACAGATATCATAAATATTTGGTGTAGATACCTTGCTTGTACCTGTTCTATTAAAAAAGGTTTTAGTTTGATTGACTCCGGGTCAAGGACAATGGGGCTAAAATAGATATACCTGTTGTTTTTTTCCACCATGTTTTTATCTTTGTCAGAGCAAAGGATGGGGAGGATACTTTATTGTTAGCAATAATCTAATTTTTAGATGATGAAATCATATTTAAAATTCATTAAGTTTCATTAAGTTGTAAAGTTTTTTAATATATGTCTGGCAGATATTGGCAATGAATAGCATTTTACAGTTTTGGTGACATTTACATGATTATCATAAATGTACCAAGTTTTTAATTTGCTGTCAATAAAACTAATATATCTGGACTGACAACCAATCAATTTGGAGACGATGATGTCTTTAGCATTGAGATAGACAGAAAATGTAATAAAGGAAATCTTTATTACCTGATCTGTTTCAAAGAAAGAAGTTGCCTTCAGAAAATAGATTGTTATACATGTATTTTGATCTGCATTTGTTAGTTTTAAGGATTTTTTCTTGAATTTCATTTTCATTTCTGTCATTTAAAATCATATATGTAAATATGTATTTAAATACGGTCTCATAAATATTTGTAAATAAAACACAATGTGTTCATATTACTAGTTGTTATATTTGCTTTTTTTTTCCTTGAAAAGATTAAAATATTTCAGCTTGAATATGACAAGAGTCATTTTGCATCAGGAGCGCCTGAAAGTTGCTATTTTCAATCTGGAATCTATTTTGCTGGAACCGAAGCGAAAATGACTTGGCCTTTGTAACAAGTATAGAGCCACGTCAGTCTTCATGTCATTGCAGTTTGATCAGGCTCTAATACTGTTCATAGCTCAATTTTTGTAGTGCGATCTTGAAATGCCTGAAAGATATACTGTTTGATATCAAAAATATTGTTAATTGCAGCAAAGTCTATTTGTAAAAATAAAATAAAAATGTTTTGACCTTGCAAAAAGTAGATATGATTAAAATTCTACACACTATAGATGTGGTCACAATATGAACATATAGTGTCATTAAAAAACAAAACTGGCAGTTTTTTTTAGCTTAGAGAGAGCTTTTAAGATCGTTGAATGTCCGTCGTCTGTCGCCCGTCCACATTTTGTTCGTTAACACTCTAGTGGTCACATTTTTGCCTCAATCATCATCAAACTTTGTCAGGATGCTTGTCTATGTAATTGCTCAGATAAGTTCGAACATGAGTCATCTCTGATGAAACACTAGGCCACAGGACCTAAAAATAGAAAAAAATCTTGTTAACACTCAAGTTGCTATTGTTATGATCCCAATATGCAGTCACCCATTTGGCGTTGGCGTCCCTGTGGTTAAGTTTTTGCGTGTAAGCTGGTATCTCCATACCTACTGAAGGGAATGGATTGAAACTTCACACACTTGTTCTCTGTGATTATCTAACATGATTGGCACACGTCCCATAATTCTTGATTTGCTTTTTTGCATAATTAAGCCCCTTTGTCGACTTAGAAATTCTTGGTTAAGTTTTTGCGTGTAAGCTGGTATCTCCATAACTACTGAAGGGAATGGATTGAAACTTCACACACTTGTTCTCTGTGATTATCTAAAATGATTGGTACACGTCCCATAACTCTTGATTTGTTTTCTAATAATTATGCCCCTTAGAAATTCTTGGTAAAGGTTTTGCTTGTAAGCTGGTATCCCCATAACTAGTGAAGGGTTTGTGCCTTTTTTGGGATAATTTTATGCATTCATAATAATAAAGCAGTGATTTACTCGATAAAACATCTTAATGACAAGCATTTGTACCTTTTCGGACAATTTTATGTATTCATATAGGTAAGCATTATTATAATCAATGAAACACCCTTAACAGTCGAGCGTTACTGTCCTCCGTCAGTTCTTGTTTGAATCAATTGTCATCAAACTTGGTCAGGATGCTTGTCTTAGTATTTGCTAGGATAAGTTTGATGGGTCAGGTGAGCAATCTAGGGACATATTGGCCTTGTTCTAAAGAAAAGACCCAACTTTACTTGACCTGTAATAGGGAACGCAGTTTCCCATACATAGTTTATTCATTAGACATTTAGTAAGAATTTTAAATCTTATTTTATAGCTTTCAATAAATTTCCGTGATTGAAATATTTTTCTTCTGAATGAGCAAAATACATCTTTAAATTTGCACATTTCCAAACAGAAAACAGGGCAAATTCAGTACACAAAGTCAGTAGTAATAGAACAACCCTCCGAAGACATCCTAGCACAGACAAATCAATTTACAAACATTTAACAGACCAGTGGTTAAGGTTCTTGATTTTTAATGGCATGTCCCTGACAAATCCAAACAAGCAATATTGGGATTCCTTCAAGTGAGGAAGCTTTAGTTTGCTAAGGTAACGTCGGTGGTTCTGTTTGGGTCTTCATGCAACAGCTGTAAAGTTGCCATACGACTTAACCGAACCAAAATTTCCCCCGGGAAAATGGAAGTACCAAAAAGCTTGAATACATTACTTTTTGATGTTTAACGGAGGGGGGGGGGGGTGATGGGGGCGACCTTAACACTTAAATTAGGTTGTTATTGGTGTTTAACCATTTTTGGTTGAACATTAAATTGATTACAACGTGAACGGCTTTGGCCGACTGATATAGGTCGCTGATCTCAAATCAACTGCCGCACGCCGAGCACTGTGTTCGAATCCTCACCAGGGGAACTAGGGAAACCCCTTTCTTTATGAGGAAGCTTTTTCCTACTAGTTTAAATTGGAAAGGGCCAGGGGTTTTAGTCAGGGTTCCCTTTGTTCTAAAAAAAATTTAAAAAAATAAAAGGATACCCGAGGTTTTTCCTCCCCAGATTTTAGCTCGAAACCCACCAAAAAAAAAATTGTACGGGTGTTTTCTTTTAAATCTCCCCTTTTTGATTAAAACTAAACGGGTTAAGGCCCAAAAAAATTGAAATATATTTTATTGCTTAAAAAAAAAAAAAAATTACAAAAAAAAACAAAAGAAAAACATAAAAATTTCCATCAAGGAACCAACACCCCAAAATTTGATAATGTTGCACACTTCGGTTTTTGACCCAGGGAAATTTAAAACTGTCAATGTCCGTGTTTGAAAAATTAAGGCCCCTTGTTTTTGTTTAAGGCCTTTTTCAAAAAAGGGTAGTGGAAATTGCAAGCTACCGCCCCCATCCCCCCCCCCCCCAAGCACCGGTTTTAAAAGAAGAATTCAACTTTAAACTGAATTAGTAAAAGGGTTTGACAAAAATTACAGACTCTTTTAAATATGGTGGTTTTCTTTGGAATTTTTCCCAATTGCATTTTCCCAACGTTATTGCCTTTTCCAAATCAAAAGGGGAAAAAATGTATAAAATTTTTTGTGCCCTAAAAAAGGGGTAAAAAAAATTGGCAAAACTAAAAAAAGGGAAATTTCCCGGGAAATTTTCTGAAAACCAATTTTCCCAGTTTTCTCCAAATTCATTTTTTTTTAGTGCTTTTAAGAAATTTTAAAACTTTTCTGTTTTTTATAATGAAGCAATAACTTGAAAAATACAAAAAACTATATGTTTTAAATGTAAAGCAAAATGTCACATTTTTTTCAAATATTTTCCGAAATGGTCAACAACATTTTATTTCATGTACTTTATTAAGGGTTAGAGCAATTCACCGGGTTTCCCAACTGCCCATGGGTTTTTGCTCGCTTCGGCCTTCTTTGTTTCTTTTCCATCGGAAGGCCAAAGTTCAATACAAGTCAAGTCCGTGAATAAAGGCCAACCCAAAAAGGAGAGACCAATTATAATAAACCTTTATTGACAAAGATTCGGTATTGCCCCTTGTTGTATATATTCAATGAAGGGTTGTCAATTGACCTGGGTCTTTGTTCATATGTGGTCTTTGTGTTCGAGAATGTGAAAACCCTTATTCGGATTGTATCCTTTAAATTTCGGGGATGGTCCCTTTAACACAGGTTTGACTGTACTGATTACTTACACATTTAATGGTTAATCAAACCTCGTTAGCATTTTTAATCTGAAAACCCTACAGAGGACCAGCAAAGGTGTTTCCAAGTAAAGCCGCAAAGCTGGACACTCGATTCATAAAGGAAACCCTTATTATTTTTTGCCAAAACATATTTAGTATATGTTTAAATACTAATGTGTGGGTTATGATCCAGACAGGGGGATTTGGGTTGCGTCCTTGTGAGGAAGCTTTCCAAGGAATCGGTCTAAAGAAAGTCAGTGGTTCTACCAATGTGCCTTTTATTGAAGATGATAAATTAATGCACCAAGGAACACATAAGGATACCCATGCACACCACAAGTAAAAGCTAGGAATATGGCTATATGTTTGTTGTAATTTTGTTTTGTGACTCCTTAAAACAACACCTTTTATTTAAATTGGCTTAGCCGGTATTTTCCGATTGCTTATTAGGATTATGGTAATTTAACTTTAAAAAATATTACTGAACATTTAAGAAGTGTTTTCAAATAAGAAACATATTGTCACAATCCAAATATATATACATGTCCGTGTATCAAAATAAAACGCATAGACACTGCTAGTTAGCAGACATGATATTGTTTAAGTTTATCAAGTCTCATTTTTACGGATATTAAATTTTTACTCTATTAGCTAAAGCCTTCATGGATAAGAGGTTTATTTTGTAATAATATACATAACAAAATATATTTGACCTTGACCCCAAAATGGCAATGACCTTCCAATGTCTCGATCTTTTTTTTTTTTTTTTTTCCTTTTTTTTTCAAAATTTTTAAGATTATTCCGCATATCAATTCAGTTGGATCTACAG